GTCACTAGCCGTCACGGCCTTGTTTTTTAAGGGAAATAGCTGTGCCTGTCATTTGCTCGCTGCTGATCAGCATGAAAAATCTTGCTGGCAGCTGTGTTTACCCACCGCAGTGCAAGGAGAGGTTCAGATGAATGGATATCTTTGGATATTTTTGTCATGCAGGCTGCTTTTTTTTTTTTTTTTTCCTCCAGAGCCTGAGCACAATGGTGAATCCCCAATTCTGTGCTGTTCGATGGGGGAGCTGGATCAGAAGGTCCTTTGTGGACTTGGGCTCAGTCCCTCCTCCTTTCTCCCTCCCTTGTCTTTGCAAACTCTTGGAGAAAGAGGAAAAATCCATCACGCGGTTCCTCTTCTGGTAGTGGTAGTGGAAGATGCTGGTGGTACCACTGGGTCCACCGGAGGACTTGGGTGAAACACGGTGGGGACTGCCTGCCCTGAAGAGTTCGTGGTATGACCAGACAAGACCAATAAGAGATGGGAGACCAGGAGATACTATTGCGTGGGTTTCACAGATGAGGAATTGGGGGATGGAGACACAGTGGCTCTCGGGAGACCTCAGCATGAGCCCCAGACCAAGTTATGTACCCTGGGCTGTGGCACGAGTTGTGAAGTGCAGCCATGTTCATTTCCAGCTCATCTCAGAGATGGAAGCAGCGGTAGATATTGGTTTGATCTGAAATTTTTGGTGAAGCAATTTTTTCATTTCAAAAAAAGGGATTTGCTGAAGCTGATTCTTCTTGTGCTGAGTTAAACAAATTGACCTAATCCTACATTTCTGAGCAAATTTTTTTTATCATGTCAACCCAATGACTTGGGCAAGAAATATGTTTAAGGAATTGTAATATTTCAGCTCAAATCTAGTGAAACTATTTCATTTAAACATTTAAGCTGATGAGAATTGAAAAAAGCTTTTTATTTTAAAAAAGTGGAAATAAGAAGGGAACACTTTGTTATGATCTCAGTGAAAATGTTTTCAAATTTTTCATTTGTGAAAGTTTATGAGTTTAACTTTTGTCTTAATTAAGGACAAGAAAACATCAGAAAAGCTTTCACAGGACACACAGATAATTACCCAGATAGTTCCAGCTGGTCTTTCTCCTCTCCAAATCCAGCTGCATTTTCCCTAATCAAATTTTCTGCCACAGCAGAGGTATAATGTAAAAGTTCAATATTATGGATCAGCTAGATTATGAGGAGAGAATAAAACGACCACAAGTCTTACAATGGAAAAGAGATGAATGAGAGTGATATAGCAGAGGTCTATAACATTGTGAATATTGTAGAGAGCCTGAATAAGGGATGATAAACATGATGGTCTGGGTGAAAAACCACGTGCAAGAGAATCGGTGCTTGCAAGGCATATCAGATGAAGGGCTCTTTGATATTTGCCCCTTCCTTATATCTTTTCTTTAGGAAGCCGCCCCTTTGCTCTAAGCTGTTTGTGTGTTAGTACTCCTTTTCTCCCTTTGAATTAAGGCAGAGAGCAACTCTTGCCCTTGCTTCAGCTGCATCAGCAGGGCCGTTGGCTAGACAAAGCCCTCTCCTCTTTCTTTGCCTCTCCCGGCCTGCAACGATGCGTTCGCTTTCCCCAGCCTTTCGTTTCCACCTCGTTCTCCAGGCAGGCCTGAGCAAAGTTGAATTATTTAAATCTCCAGTGTACAAAAGGCTCCACTGTCATTAGAGGATAAATGATGCTGTCTCCATGGCTGCAGAAGAAACCAAATTAAACCCCGCCATCCTTTACAATTGATGGGCTGATTGTAGAGCCCCATGTCATAGCTGATTTCTCATGAACAATCGGGAGCAAATTGTATATCTAATTCCTGTCACAAATGTTTCTGCTATGCAAAGGAACAAATAACAGCAGGGAGAGAAGGTGGAGAAGAGAGCGCTTGGCCTGGCCTTCGGACTAACTGCAAGAGGGGACAAGAGGAAGGCTGCGATGCTGCTAATGTGTTCCTAGTGAGATGGTCACTAATGGAGTTGTGCCATTGCGTTAAACAGCAAGAAACGGCAACGTAAGCTGCTTTCTCTGGCTGTAATAATATGCCACTCTGCTAAAACCAGCCAACTATGAGAGGGCAAGGAAGCAACTGAACCGTCAGTAAGAAACCTAGCGCAAGAGACCACATTTCCCGATGGAGAGCTCTTAATGCTTCTGCCATAGCAAGCTTAGGAAGATCAATAGTAAAGCTTTGCAGGTGTGAAATCATTTAACTGGACTTGCCGGAGAGAGGCTGGGGATGCTGTAGCATTCATGGTGGCTGCTGCAGATACTACTGAGATATGAGACATGCAAATTTTAGTGATAAGCAGGTACTGACTTTTGACATTAATCTGACTAAATAGATTTGTGACATATTGACCGAGGTGAAAGTCTAGATCAATATCATTCTTGAAGAGGCTCAATAGATCAATGTTTCTTTGATACAGATAAAGAAAATAGAAGGTAGGCATTTATGGTATTCTCTACCTGTGGTATTATTCTTTGCTGATCCTTCTGCCGAGATAGAAGATAGGAACAAGAATGAATGTAAGAAACGATTTAGAAAGACAATTCACAGACCGTATTGTAAGAAGGACATTTATAGTATTATTTGCATCAGTTTTGGGCTAACAAGCGGAGGAAAAGTTCTCCATGAAAGTGCATTGTCCATTGAAAGGCAAATTTCTATCAAATAATGGTCTTGGTTCTAACGAGGTGCTTGTGGTAGTGCGATCGCGGACGTGCGGCTGTGCTCTGCTCATCGCACAGGCATTTGGGTTCTGGCAAGGATGGATCCGTGGGTGTTTCACAGGCCCCCTTTGCTTTCTGATCTTAGAAATATGGGTGCCTGGCTCTAAATACTTCAAGGCAGCTGGCAAAGAGGTGGTTAAAAGCATGTTGAAATGCTGGAGAGGACAGCACAGAAAGAAAAGCCATTTATCCTCTTAAATAAATCAGTCAGTCCTGTCTGAGGTTGCGGGTGATTCAAATTCCAGCTTCCTGCATTAAACAAGGATGAGCATGACTGTGTCCCATTTATCCAGTTCAACAGATAATCTGAACTTGAGAACCACCGTCTCCGTTATCAGTTAGATATTTTTACAGCACTTTTAAAGAGTTCATTTATGTCTTTATTCTATAACAAGGCTTATCAATCACTAAGAATGACTTTTTAATGTAGGTCAAATTTTAGCCTAAAGCTGTCGAACAGTTTTTCTTTGTGCGGCTGTGGAGGCCATGTAAGAGCTCCCTGCCCCCAGATCTCCCTTGCTGGTGTCGTCGGAGGGGAGCAGCACGGCTTGGAAACAGCACAGAGCAGAGCTCCCTTTGGTGGTAGTTCGGCTCCTGGAAACTGAGATCTTCACGTCTGAAGGGTGTGTGTTGCCTGGAAACTGAGGGGAAGAGACAAAGCGAAGGTCCCGCAGTGCGTGCGGCATGGTTGCCCCTGAGCAAGCGTCTTGTCGTTTGTTGTCTCCATGGTGTTTTCTCTGTAGGGCTCGGTTGTGTGTAAGCGTTGAGGTCATGTCTTCTGGGCCTCGGATGACTGCTGCTGCGCTGAGGTTTGTCCCGCTGGTAGCCGAATTGCTTCTGGCTCCTTCTTAAGCAGCCTGAGAACAGAAGA